TATTGCTGAAGCCTGGCTTGGAGAATTTTGAGCATTACTTTACTAGCGTGTGAGATGAGTGCAATTGTGCGGTAGTTTGAACATTCTTTGAGATTGGAATGAAAATTGACCTTCGCCAGTCCTGTGGCCACTGCTGAGTTTTCCAAATTTGCTGGCATATTGAGTGCAGCACTTTCATAGCATCATCTTAAGAGGATTAAATTTTGCTACCTCAAAATAGTGGCAGATAATTCAAGTAAATAAAGGTAGCCAATGGACCATAGTTTAAAAAGAATAAGTTGAAAATTCTTGAGCAGATTTCAAATTGAAATGATAAAAGGCACTCATTCAAAGTATTCAACTAGTGAGAGTGAACAAAGAAGAAAGTGTGACAGTCAACTATACAGGGGTGGTGGTCAATAGTATTGAAAGCTACTTAGAAACATATATCAGATTATTAGTGTCTACTGTATTTGAACCAGATAATATTTTAAATTTGTTTCACTAATTCTTGTCAGGCTACCTGCCATCTTTTATGCAATTTAAAGATTCAGTGATCTTTAAATTATTGGTAAATTCTGCCTTAAAGAGAGCTTTTATGAAGGACATGTAATTCGTATCATCTAGAGTTACTGTCATTTCTAGGCTAAGTCCCATGGAAATTCATAACTTAAAAATCAAAGTCACAAAGATGCAACTGCCTTCATAATGCCAATGCAGTGGTTATAAATATTTCATGAACATTGCATGGGCAGGGGCAGATCTCCATTTTCATGAGTTAGAATTTGTATGGTTAAGTCTCTAGATTTTACTATTCATAATGCACAATATGCCCTGTAGAGCATTCTATATAGTGCTTTTTTAATATTTATATTTAATGAAGAAATTACTATTCTGAAAAAAGAACAAGCTAAGTCAAAGATTTCTTGTTAAAATTATTAGTTTGCTGAATAGAGACAATAACAATCAACAGAAATTACCTCATTGCAGTGTCTTAGCACATACATAACTTTTAGAGTAATACAAGATGACTGATCAAGATACATTAAACCTAAGTGAAAAGGTTCTTTCTAAAGGTTAAAACATTAGAAATCTCATCTTAAAAGAATTTGAAAGGTTAAAATGTAAAGAGCAACTTTCTTACATATAAAAATATTAATTACAAATGAAATACTTGCCTCATGTTCCATGGTTTAAATATGTGTCTGTATTTTTCTGGGTGGATCTTTAATTTAAAAAAAAATAAAGCATTTTAACTTCCTAGGATAATATTACCAAGTTCAATAACAAATTGCTGTTGCATATTTTAATGTAATTTATCAAAGCACATTATCATTACCTGTCAGAATAAATTTTGCACTAAAAGTAATGAAAAGAAGGACTATTGTATGTGTTGAAATCAAGGAACATTACTACTGCTAAGTTATTTTCAATGGAAAAGAAGGTGATTGCCCTCTAAATGATACTTGTCCCATGAGAAACTAGAAGCCTGAAAAATCACAAGAAAAAGGCTGAGAAAAACGTCTATGCCTTGCTTTTAAAAATGAGTGTTTGATATTTTGTTTCATTTTTGTCATTTTGATCAATTCTTTCAAGTAGATGAATGTTGAAAAGTACTGCACAGATCTTAGTAACATTTACAAAAGTAAGCTAAAATTACTGATCAGCTCGTGTATAACCTAAGGCTGAATTATCCCATATTAGCATATACTATATATCATAATTAGATTGACTAGGAAGTCACATATTTTCTTTTGAATATACTTCAACAAGACTAAGTCTTTTAATAATGAAAACAATAAGCTTCAGATTTCATATCATTCACCTGGGAATCAGCTATTCAAATATTTTTATAGGCTTAAACCAATGAGGTCGTTAGAAATTCTGTGATGTTTCTCAAACTTACCTCCCCAGAAGTCTATGCTTTATTTCTGATATTATTTAACTGCAAGTGGGAAACACTTTCCATTTGGTTCTTTGTAATTTTATTTTCCAAAGGCTCCCTTGAGGAATTTAACCTTTATGTGATGAATTTGCAGTTCACTGAAAGTGTGTTAACCTTCATTCCCTAATGAGCCTAGGTGTAATACTGAGGAAGAATTTGAGAAATTTATCATGTAGCTCATTGTCAGGTTGGATTTGTCTCGCACATCTCCAGCTTTGCTGTTGTTCCAGTACAGATTTTGATCACAATTCTTTAATTATTTTCTATATTTAACTGACCTATTTGAACAGGATCCAGAGCTGGTGCGGAACATCTGTCGCTGGGTTAGGCAAGCTGTTCGGATTCCTTTTTTTGCCAAGTTGACCCCAAATGTCACTGATATTGTAAGCATAGCTAGAGCTGCAAAGGAAGGTAAGAATCCAACTCACGTCAGTTGCCTCGTTATGTATTCTGGGCCTTAATTTCGTAGCTGTGATAAAATGTATCTCATCTACCACTTTATGTGTACATCTCTGTTTAAACTTTAAGGAAGTTGTTGAATTGAGCACTTGATCTCACAAATGCAGTAGATCCATACCTATACTCAACCTAGTGGATGGACTTCAAACTTTGGCCCAGGAATACAAGTATATCTATCATTTTTCCTAATAAGCACCTGCTTTATACACAAAGAATTAGGAGACAAAGCCACAGTCACAGCAGAGCACTGCAAAATAAATGACCTCATAATGTAACAGTCCAGCAACAGCACTTGAACTTTTAATGAAATTTTTTAAAAAGATAGCTGCTTCTGCAGGTGAAATTTCTTACCAGTTCCCTTTGTATTTGATCGAAGCTAGAACACTGCCTTAAACATATGCTCAATAAATACCTTGAATACATCAATCGTACAATCAGTGCATAGTTTCACAAATCATATATGCTTGCATGCTATCCAATGGAAATTGCATCCTGATTTGTAAAGATATTGTAAATTACCTGGAAAATAACACTGAGTGCAAAACACAAATGTGTATAATAATTGGAAAAATAAAGTGGTGATAATTAAAAATTCTTATGTCTAGGATTTTAAGCATAATTATGGGCATGGGATTAGTGAATACATTGGAGGAGAGGAAATGCTATCAGGAGAAAGTAGTGTGTGCATTTTCCTGGATTGTGTGGGTTTGAATGGGTTTTAACCATTGTCCCTTTAAGAGCTGCGGATGAATGCTATGTTTTTCATAGGTGGGGCAGATGGTGTTACAGCCACCAACACTGTCTCGGGTCTCATGGGATTAAAAGCTGATGGCACACCCTGGCCAGCAGTGGGCACCGGGAAGCGGACTACATACGGAGGAGTGTCCGGTAGGTGTTACCCTCTCCCCCCATTTCTGCTTCCATGAGGGTTGGTGAAAACTCAAGAGATCGTGTTACCAGCAAGAATACTGTGTATTTTTTGATCCCCAATTTTTATAACTCACTGCTTGTCAAAATTCCTAATAGTTATGACAAATGGAACAGATCCATCAAGTGGCTAGTGGCACAAGAAGAGAGAATACCAAGATAGGGCTTCACACACATCCTGTTCTCTTGTGGTCTGTGCATTACTCAGGATTTCTCATTGTCACAATTGTCTCATTACTAATTAGTAAAAAGCTAATACCAAGGCCTTATAAGAAGAATATAAGCACAGTGATTTTAATACCTTTTTCCATAGTCTGGGTTAGTTTCCACTCTTCCTAGAAGTTTGAAATCTTCATTCTTCAGAAATAAATCATTAAAACGTTCCATTTATAGCTTCAGCTGACAAGATATTTGCAGACCTTATACCTTCACGCACATTTTCTCATCATAAAACACTTGCATTTGAAACAGAAAGAGAAGTTTTAATCCCAAAGTCCCGTTCAGTGTCTTTGCTCTGTGCAGTCTGTTGCTGTGACAACATGAACTTGGTCATGCAAAGACGATGCTGTGAGGTTCTTGACTGTACTGGTATGGGGATTAGTCTCCTTGGTGATAGAGACAGTGGTAAATATACATAACATAGCAGTGTCCCACTGTTCAAGAAAAGCATTGCTGAATCAGACCAAAATGTGCTTTTGGAAGAGGCTGCATAGACACAAATAAAGCTCTCTGCATGCTGAGGTATTATGTTTTGAGAGCATGAAGTGTGGCTATAAGCCATGATTTTTTTTTTTTAAGAGTATATTCTGCTTTTAATTGAATGCCATTCCCACAATGTCAGAAAGCGGAAAGCTGACAAGGAGCACCTGTTCAGGGTCCAGACAGAACTCCCTTTTATCAGGAGCTATCAAACAGGGCCTTAAATATTATTGTAATGCAGAATAACGTGGAGCGAGTTAGCCAGTGTCTCAGAAAGAGAGTTGTGAGATCCCAGAGTTGGGCTGTGACGTGCACTGTTTTCTGTCAGAGCCCATTTCAATTTCTCCAGCCTGCCATGTTGACAGCGAGAGAATGAAGGAGGTCACAGAGGGTACAGAACATTAAAAATTAATAGGAGAACTATTGCAGTAGTATTTTATATAAGTAACACCATTCACGTTTTCTCATTTGAGGTGCAGTTTCTGAATATTCTCCCATAGTATAACTCAGTCTAATAAAATGATGGAATTATAGCATTAGCAAAAGTCTTTTGTGTTGCAGTCTTTTAAGCATACATACACTAGGAATTATAGTGGTACCTGCAAACAAGTTCAGCTATACCTCAGGGCCTGTTAACATTTCCATAAAACTCTCTTTCTGAGATTTATAAATTCATGTATAAATATTCACTTGGGCTATAAACTCAGCCAAGCCTGTGTGGAACTTTAATTTTAAACAACAAAATGTCCCTAACATTTTTAAGGTTTTGTACCTCATTTCTAATAGGGTCTATATTCAGTCCTTTCAAATTAAACAATTTGTTTTGAAAATAGACTCTCTCCATATTGACAGAGTTAATAGTTTTTTCTCCTTTAAGGCAATGTTTGCTTTAATCTAAAGGTAATATAATCTGAAAAACAGTTTAAACCGGCAATGATAATATATTTTAGGATAGAAGTCAGTTCTATAACAAAGTACCTTCAGAATGAGTTATAGTGAAACCTAGCCTAGCAAAATGTGTTAAATACTAATTCCTTCAAAGTTTAGGAATGATGAAAATATCAAAATGGCTAAATACCATTCCTAGTTTTATCAATTACTCTGTTTCAGTATAGAAAACCATGTAAAATATGCCAGGTATTTTTACAAAATTAAAAAAAAAAATTCCCACAGCTCATTTTCAGTGCTAATACTTACTCAAGTCTTGTCTCAGAACATTGGGATATCTACTTTTAGAAAAACTGCTGGAATCATAGGTTTTTGTTTTTTTTTTTTAATTTTTTTAAGTGAAAGCTGAAAAGACTTTAGTTTTGGAAAGCCATCTGAAATACAAAATATACTTTTTATTGCTGGAAAAGGGTATTTTTCTCTTTCAATACTTTCTAGCTTTTTATCAGTTTTTGTTTTTTGTTTTTGTTTTCCCTTGGAATAAGATTCCTGTTATTTGAAATGGAGATTTTGGTTTTGTTTCCACAGGGAAATGTTGAGGAACTTGGAGCAGTGCACATGCTCTAGAACAATGTTCACATTTCAGTGATGTCCTTCGTTTAAAACACGTTAGCTAATAAGGGGCTAGCTTCAGAAATAGAACCTCAGCTAAGGAATGTCAGTTTCATTATTTTAAATATGATTAGTCTGGATTCTAGAGTATTCTAAAGCAATGTTTCTCAAACTTTGGTTCCCAACTTATGAGTGTGTTGTGGAATCAAGCTTAATGAACTGTAATCATTTTTTTTTAATGAAATTGGATAAGGAAAATGTCCGAATGCTTTGCTCATGGGTGAGATAAGCAGTGGTTAAACATCTTTTTTAGTTATCCATGTAATGCACACATAGGTATATTTCAGTACCAGGTCATGATGTAAACTGAATTTTTTTACTGTGGTTAATTCAAAAATTTTGGAAAGCTGCTGTTTTAGAGGGAGGTTTCTTTGTTAAATAGAAATGTCATTTTGCCTATAGAAGTCATTAAGTGAGGTAACTTCTACCTGTTGAAGTTTAAAATTTATATCGAGGGAGAGTAAGGACTTCATCCCATGCTGTCGTCCTCAGCTTTGTTATTTTAGAACTGCATTTGCCAAGTCATCTGTAGGTAATTGCAGTAGGGAAGATGGTCAAACATATGAACCAATTCATAGTAAAAATGATTTATAAACCTAAATTTTACTTGTAAGAGAAATACCTGGCAAGATTCATGATAACAGTATGAGTCTCTTAATGGTGATTTCATAATGAGGACAGTATCAGAAAAAATCTTGTTCAGTATTCATAAGGAATATTTTCATGAGAGTAGGATGACTAATTAAGCTTTCCACCATATAAGTACTTCTGTCCAAATCATTGTCTCTAAAGGATCAATATTCTCTACCTTTCTTTGAACAGTAGAGACCTTATACTATAAGCTGTTACCACACAATTTTCTCTATTTAGAATCCATGTGAAACATTTTAAAAAAATCAAACAGCAGTTACTTTGTGTATCACTGCAGAGTTGAGTAAATTACTGGATTTTCCTTTTTTCGAAGGGAGGGGAGAAAAATCTTTGCTTCTATTGGTCAGAAGAAACACTAATCTCTTCAGGATTATTATTTATTAGCTCTGTCCTCAAGTGAATTATTCATTATTTTTCCTAGTTTTAGTTTGGTTATTTTTTTTTTCTTGATTTAGTTTGACCTTTTTCTTGATCTTGTCCCCAAATAATGATACCTTAAGCCCACTCCTAACTCAGTGATTACTATCACCTATGTAAATAGTGTTACACATCTGTGGTATGACGTTTTCACATGAAATCATCTCTGTGGATAAGCTTCTTTTAGAGATGGTTAAAAATAAGTCCTGTGTGGCATAACTAAAGTTATGTCAGGATAACTTTTATCCATTTATAACTGCATCAGGAGAAATAGTAATCAAGGAATGGGGTAAACTCATTTGAAGGAATTTTATTATTGTTCCTCATTGTGTTTAAAAGGTTCTTTTTATCAGCGGGGAATGGGCGTATTCCTTAGGTTTATTGTTATTCCATTGCCCAATTACATGTTTCCTTTCTTTCACATGTAAACACATACACATACATACCCACAGATAGGGGAAGTTCTGAAAGTCATCTGCAGAAGGCTTAATATAATTTACTTTCGACAGGCTGAAAAATTGACCTGTACTTTTATTTGTTTGCTAACTTTATTTTATTTGTCAAAAAAGGGAAATTCTTGTTCTCAATTTCAAATTTTAGATGTTCGAAATTATTGAATCTGTATCAAGTTACTCAGTTAAAACAATAGAACACTTATTATTCACTACTAATACTTGTAATCTTTATACTGATTTCTGAATAATTCATCAAAGGTGGCTTTCAAGATTTGATTTCTTTCCAGGAACCTAGATTTTACTAGTCACATGAAGGATTATTACAGAAGTTACATAATTTTGTATTGCTTAGCAAATGTTAATGGTGTACTCCATGAATACTCTCCCATTCTACAAATAAATGATGTGTGCTTTGAAACTTGCAGTGTGGGCTATTGGAAACTGAACTCTTATATTTACAAGCCTAAAAGTGTGTGTGTGTGTGTGTGTAAAATCAACATGGCATGGGAATTACCAATAAAAGAAGGTGCAAGTTAGAAATGTGCCATCAGCTTATAACTCAGTGCCAATGTAGCGCTAGAAATGAGTACAAAGTGTATAGTTCAGAAAACTTGCCGGGATCAATGTAGTAGCTTAAAAAAGAATCTTAGGCATTGGCTCCACACTGCATATTTTATGTTTGTCTTTAAAATAGTTACTGAAAAATTGTTGGGACTGTGCAATGACCTAGAAGTATGCACTGCTACTGGGAACTACATGAATACAGTCCACTGTAACCTGCTCTGATCATACACTTATTTTGTTGCATTTATTCATGACTATTGTGTAAAATGGGGAAGACAACAAAACTTACACTAGATTGGAAACTCCAAAGTTTCGGTTTCATTTTCCTTTGAAAAACTATTTTTATATGTGCAAGCAACTGAAAATTTTGGTAAGATTGCTTGAAGTTCTTACACTATACATTACAATTATATCATAAAATACAGTACTGGTATTTTTTATTTTTTTATAAGTAGTTTTTAATGGGCTGGATTTTTTTGTGTCAATCGCATGATTACTGATGCATAAAATCCTTTCAGAAAAACACGCCTACTATGTCATAAAATCTCAGCTCTTTATTGTAACCATCTTTATCAATAAGAAATTAGCTTTTAATACTGAAATGTCTAAAATAGC